TCATAAAATTGATCATTGTTATACAACAAACAAGACAAAGCAATGATAATAGTGTGAAATAAGAATGTACTCAGAAATAATCATAGAATATTAAACAAAAGGTTTTTTTATGAGATTTTGTTAAATCAAAATAAACATATGCGACATAATGAAGTTTTTTTTTTTTGCCTGTATTTTATTTTTTGCGCACGTTTGTAATGTTATTCTTGTTTTTTCTGCAAATACATTTAGAAAGGACGGAGGATGGCATGCCATTACATTCAAACAATCCATTTATATGTTCTGTTTACCCGTCTCCATCGATGGTCAATGTCTTTCCGTGCAACAGATGTATTGAAAATTTTGTTTCTTTTGAACTTGAATAGAGTTGGTAGGTTAGTACGAATAACGTCTTATGGTGATATATATATGCATTACGTAGGTTCACTTCTGTGTTAGGTTGCTCTCAAACAAACAGTTACCCAGAATCATATGTTACTCCTGTCAGTTAACAATCATATACGAGAATTGATAGACAGTAGCAAGTATTCCTAATATAAGACGGAATCTTAATTTTTTATCTTTACATTCTTTTACTAGAACCGGTGTTTCGAAAATTTGATTATTATAAGCTCATCTGGCCCAATGGGCCAAGTGAGTTTTTCTCATCACTTGGCGTCCGTCGTCCGTTGTTTTCGTCGTCCGTCGTCGTCGTCCGTTAACTTTTACAATCTTGTCCTCTGAAACTACTGGGCCAAGTTTAACCATACTTGGCCACAATCATTGGGGAATCTAATTTAAAAATGTGTCCGATGACTCCGCCTGCCAACCAAGATAGCCGACATGGCTAAAAATAGAACATGGGGGTAAAATGCAAGTTTTGTCTATTATTTTTATAACTGTTATAAATAGAGAAAATCTGACAGGAGCAAAAATGTTCAAAATGTTGAGCTCTATCAATTTTCCATATACATCAAAACTGTCAGACGACTTCTTATAGGAGCAATTGCCCTTAAATGACAATTTTTTTTTTCATTTTTGCTTACTATCTTGAAAACTATAATAAATAAAGAGAAACTTTAAAATTCAAAAATGATCAGCAAGACAAGTTCTACAAAAAGTCCAACAACGTCAAAACCGTCAGTCGACTCCTTATTAATGTTATTGCCCTTTGATGATGATTATTACCAATTTGTTTTGCCTTATATCTTAAAAATTTGAATAGATAGAAACTTAAATAAGCAAACATAATCAGCAAGACAAGATCTACGATTAAGAAAAATGGAGAAAATCATCAAACAACTCCTTATTGGAGTTATTGCCCTTTAATGACGATTTTTCATTGTCTGTTAACTTTTGAAAATCTCCTCCTCTGAAACTACTAGGCCAAATTTAACCAAACTTTTTTGGGGTATCTAGTTTAAAACATGTGTCCGGTGACCCCGCCTGCCAATCAAGATTGCCGACATGGCTAAAAATAGAACATAGGGATAAAATGCAAGTTTTGTCTATTATTTTGAAATCGTTATAAATAGACAAAACCTGAAAGGAGCAAAAATGTTTTTTTGCGTTTTGCCATATATGATAAAAAATTACAATAGATATTTCAACACTTTAAATCACAAAAATGATCAGCAAGTCAAGATTTACTAACATGTCAAATTGTGCCGATATAGTTAGTAGACTGTCACTCTTTATATATAGGAGTGATTGCCCTTACATGAGGATTGTTTTTACCCTCTTTTGTGTTTTGAGAAAAACTAAAGAAGATAGAGAGAAACTAAACAGACTAAATGATCAGTAATACAAGATCAACAAAACAGATTTTTGTCATGAATTCTATTCTCGTCTACAATTTTGGAGAGTGTCCTTTGTTGAATATGCACATAGACCAAGGTGAGCGACATATGCTCTTTAGAGCCTCTAGTCATTTTATAAAGGCATGTCATTTATTTCCAAAAAAAACTCGACATTTTTATTTACCTTTCTTTATATTTCTACATGAAATGAATATGGAAACCACTTGACTATAAAAATGGAAGATAAATATGTGCATATAACAAAAATTAAAACACTTGAACTTTAATATATAAATATAAAAATACAGATGGTCTTAAACTTGTGGTTTATTTGTTTTTGTATTTTTGTGTTTTGGGGTGGGAGTGTTATGGGTAGGTGCTTAAATTGATTAAGCTATCAATTCAGATCTTTTTCGGTTGTTTAACCAGTTCCTTCGTGGAAAGTATAACTGGTGACAAGTCACTCAGCTTTACACAATTTGAAAAGAAGAAGGACAATTAAAGCGAAGCTTCATCTGGCGACCCATGCGTGGCAATGAACGAGCCCCCGCATTTCAAGGTGTTGAGTTGAGGTTGGAGATGTTAAATGAAAAATGCTAGGAAAATTAATGAACAATTTGAATGATTGGGTTCTCTTGTTAAGTTCATTCCCTTGTCATTGAAATATTGAAGGTGAATCACGAGGTGGGGATGGATGATGGTTGTTTAGAAAATAAGTTACAAAAACTGTTTCCACAAGGAGCAATTAACTAAGACGGTGATTCAACTTGTTTCTCACGTGACACATTACTTAGAAACTGGAAGCATGCAACTTTATCTGACATTTATGTTGCGTGAACTCTTGACCGATATTTAATGATGAATGTCTGCTGTCTTGTAAGGAATATGCAGAGACGGGTTAAGAAAAAACCCCAACACTATTGAATGGGAATGAAACACTCATCTATAAACCATGATTATACATTTCTATAATCTACCATTCCCACTAACGTATCTAAATAGGAGGCAACAGAAGTTAACCGATGTTCAAAACGTGTAGATCTATTTTGCATATATCTGATCCGATAACAACAATCTGGAGAAAGTCCAAACGATGAGATACCTGGTTCATTAATATCCTAACTGTTTTCTGCTATTTATGCATCGCCCGTCACGTGAATCCAGACTTAGTCAAAATTTGTAACGATATGAAACACTACACAATCAATCGGTATAGTTTCATATCAGTCGACTATTTTGGCGTCTTTATATAATATAGTGTCCCACGTAACTTGAGACAACAACAAGTTGGTCAACCAACTCGAAAAAGATAAGATAAGATAAGATAAGAAATTTTTTATTTTGATTCGGCATATATAAAAACTGTACAACACAAGCTCGAGAGAGCTTTTGACCGAATATAAAGACATATAAATAACATAAAAACAATAATAACAACATACATTACATACTCAAAATTTGGCATTTACATGTGAAAGACTTCTTTAACATGTTCAAGCAAACTTGAAGTTTGATAAATATGTATCTACTAAAATTTTGTAATAAGCAGCAAGAAAATTTAGAATTGAAGGTAAAAATCATAACAAAATTTGATATTTAAAAAACTAAGATTAAAAATTAGCACTAAAAAAAAAAGAGTATGAGCCACTTTAAACAAAATAGGAACTCTAATATTGAAGATCTGTTTGATAATTAAACTAAATTAAAACATGAGCGTTTAGCTGTCAACAAAGCGTCTGCAGCAAGCAAAAATTAAAGATAGATTTAGCGAAGCCAGACCACAGATTTGTACAAATTGAAAAATTTGGTGTGCAGATCGTAGATCCAAACGGGGACTCATGTGACAATCGCCTCTATGAGTATCCGCTTAATAAGTATGCACAGAGACAAACATATGTTGATTTTAACTATCTGCAGGCTGAGTAACCGCAGTTCGAACCATTCCAGGACAGAAGCAAACTCTTAAAATGAGAAAGAAATATTTTCAGTCCTGAAATGGTTTAGCAAGCTATTCCAGAGTGAATCGGCTGCATATCTGAATGATCTCTTACCGTATATATTAGTTCTTACCTGTGGTATGTACAGGATGTTACTTTACCTAAAATTATATTTTGAGTCCTTTAGATTGACTAAGTCACTCAAACACACTGGAGCCTTACCGTTAAGGATTTTGTAAGTCTCAAGTGTCATTGTCCTGATTCTTGTCACCCGCAAAGTTGTAACCTTTGCCACATCTAGAAGGGTTTCATATGATGAGGTATGATCCTCATATACAAAACGGAGTGCTCTCTCCTGCACTTTTTCTTGCTTTTTAGAGTAAGTGTTCGTGCAGAAATGCCACTCTAGAGGACAAATATTAAAGTTACTTAAAATAAAAAGTATGAAATATTGTCAGTTTATTTAGTCTCGATAATATAGACCCCAGTCGTTTAGAAATATTTAGATGTTGTGACGCCTTTCTGCACAAGCTGCTGATATGGGCATCAAATTTCAGTTGACAATCGATATCAATACCAAGCAGCTTGACAGTTTCCTCACAAGAAAGAACTTTTTTGGATTTAAATGCTAGGACTTTCTGAAAGGTTTTCTTTCCGACGGCAATAATTTGTCTGGATTGGCCTGCATTTTGTTTATCTTGAACCAGTTAATAAGCACTCGAGACTCAGATTCCAGCGTGGATATAAGTGAATTGTAATCTGGACTGCTGAAAGACAAGGTATTATCATCGGCATAATTATATAAAGAACTCTGTTTCACAAAGTAAAAAATATCATTTATGAAAACATTAAATAACAGCCCAACTGCTAGAACACCATTGACTTTGATTTGTTGTTTTCTGTTAGAAAGATACGAATGCAAATGGGATACTGAATGTGCAGATTCACCATAAGCTAGAAATTTGTCCAGTAAAATATCGTGAGGTAAACAATCAAATGTCTTACAGCTGCAATGAAATGGTTTTTATCTAAAGTTTGACGCCAGTCTTCTAGTTATCTGAGCAGTGAAGTCTGACATCAATGACCGTTTCTGGAAGCACATAAATATGGATTAAATATTGAATAAAAAAGGCATACAACTGTATCATTTAGCACGTGGAATAATACATATAATAAATACTTTGAGGGCCTCAGGGAAGATCAGTTTTGTAGCTAACTGCGGAACCTTCTTTAAATGAAGAATTATTATTATTATTTATTACTATTATATATAGAGAGTGGAAAAATCAAAATGTTTGATTAAAAAGTCAAAAATATATTTCTGCTAAATGCTAATGATTATCGAAGATAATGGAGATACTCAGCTGATTGGACGTACCTATCATCACACTATATTTAAGACCTACTTTTATGTTAGAAAGAATAGTAGTATGAATCGTTGTAAGTAACTTATTTAAAAACAGAGACGAGTCCGTTATAAATTGTTCTATATAAGGCTTTTTGTGAAAATTGAGTCAAATATAAAGTCGAGACTTTTGTCATTTTTAAACATTTTTAAAACTGTATCGAAAGTTGGGGTATACAGGGAAGATTGTAAAGAAAGTTTTCCGAACTATTGTAGACTACCGTGACGAGTTTGAAGATTTAACATAAGTCGTTTTCATGATATATTTTCATTAGGGACATTTATATCATTCGAACTTATTGTGTCCTTGACATGATCCTATATGTCCAATAAAAGTTTTATGTCATTTTTCTCTCAAACCTTCAAGCTCGATCGTAGCTGATGATGGTAATGCAAGAAACATGTGTGGTTAGCAATGTATCGATATCAAAAGTTTTAAGTTATTAAAAAGCATAGATTAACATTAAACGTAAAATCTATAGGGAGTGAACCTTGTTATTTAAGTTGTTGAATTTAGTAAAAACAAAACAAAATACAATTGCTTTTATCTTTTCAGAAAAAGTTCAAGTTTCTGTTTCCTTTGTTTGAACATTTATGACATCCTGCTGGTAAAGTTCACCCATATGAACGATATTACGACGCAGTTCCAAAGGATCATTATAACTGGCAGAAACAGCTTCGATTTTATTTTGAAGTATTCCATTATTCTTTTCTCTATTGCCACCTGTTAGTACCGTTGGTTTTTTTTTTTAAATATGTCTTCTAAATTTCTTGTTGGCTGTTTGACACGCTACACGCTTTCTGAAATTAAATGAAAAAAAAAACATAACATGCAAGTTTTTAATAAAAAAATGTAGTACCATCGACTTCTATGGGTACATGCAGCTCCCGGTTTTTTCCGTTACTTTTACAATGTTTTAAGAATTGCTATTAATGGCAAAACATCTAAAAGACCAAATTAACACTACTTCATAAATATTTTTAAGAATAACTGCAGATGTGTATATAAAATGTAAAGTTTTGATAATCTGTTATTTTGAAATTCACTCAACCGCACTAGCCCTAATATAATTAAACCGTTATAAGTGGCGATTACTTTATTAAGAAATTTGAAAAAATTATCTAACAACAATTCAAAAAATATTGATTATTATCCGATTCTTATTACTTTAAGCTAACATTAATGACAGTGACCATTTGATTCTTTGATAGTGTTTATTGCATTATTGTACGTGTGGCTGTTTTTTGTTGTAACTGTGATGTATTTGACTTGGTTGTGGTATTTTTCTTTACATTTATATTCTACAACTGTTTGTGATAGCTATTTCTCCACTCGCAACTGTTGAACAAAACTTTTAAAACGCGAGGCTTGCTGTCCTGGGGGAAACTATTGTATTGCACGATATTCTGTGGTGGAATCTGCGTGGGAATCTGTTTCTCTAATGAATTTTAGTCGATATAAAAACAAACTTTATCGTTCTTTTTCAATGATCTGCAAAAAGATGTGTTCTTTATATGTGACGTCATTAGGCATAGTCGCCTTTTTCGTGACGTCACAATAGTAAATTTAGAGGAAAGCAAGAAAATTTGACGTCATAAATTAGTTTTCACAAAAGAAGAACTGAGATCAAACAAACCAGTGGGGCCTCGGTGGCTGAGTGGTATAAGAAGTTTAACTACTGTACCACTAGCCTGTCAACACTGAGGTTGTGAGTTCGAACCTTACACGTGGCAGGTGCGCTCAACTCCAATCTAAATTGATTGGGATTGTCAGTTCTTCTGCCGAACGTCGGTGGTTCTCTCCGTGCTCTGAGCCTTCCTCCATCAATAAAAACTGACCGTCAAGAAATGGCCAATAGCGCTGAAGGTGGCATTAAAAACCAACCAATCAATCAATCAATCAATCAACTAAGCAATCGAACCAGACGTTGATTGTACAAAAATATCAACAGGTTGAAAAAAATTATGCATCGTGCAACTATCAGAAATTTTTTGTATTCTCTTGTTGAATTTTAGACGATATAAAAACAAACAGTATCGTCAAAAAAAAAAGAAGGATTGAAAATAAACAAATCTTTATTAACGCCATATGACAATGCTGCTATTCCAAATCAGAAACCTGATCAGTGTTCGTTTATATATATATATATAGATTGCCTAACAATGTAATTTTAACACACTATTTAGTATGTAAATATTAGAATGTTTAAAATATTTACAAAACAATAAAAATAAAAGCTAGTTTGTCTAGCAAAATATTGCGTTTATTTTTATTGTTTTGTAAATATTTTAAACATTCTAATATTTACATACTAAATAGTGTGTTAAAATTACATTGTTAGGCAATCTATAATTTTATTTGTGTAATTGTATTAATCTCTGTACTGATTAATCCACACTCCCATAGATTTGTATGTCATGTGTTGCTATTTATAGGCACTTATATATATATATACAAGCAGTTCTTTCATCAGCTCCGTCACTAAACAAAATTATACCATCTACTCAAATTCCAAATGTAAAACGGAGAACTCAATTTATATATTAACATGTGACACTTGTGGCATTCAGTATGTGGGAGAAACAATGGACAAATTTAATATTCGGCTCAATAACCATCGTTCATGGTACAAAACCAACAAAAACTGTCCTCTCACAAGACATCTTCGTTCAACGAAACATTTCTTTTGATAATGTTACTTTCCAAATCATAGAAGTCAACACCAAGTGGGACACCACGGCGAGAAGGAGAAGAGAAAATTTTTGGATCCACCAACTCCACACTTTAGAACCTGATGGTCTTAACGAAAAAGATGAGAAAAGATACAGGAAAGATAAAGAATAATTTAGTACACAGCATCGTCCTTTTTATCCTGTAATATTGGCCAATGGACGATTCTAACTTCAACTACCAATTTTGTAAAAATCTTGAACTTCATCCAAATTATGTATTATTTTCAAGGCAGCTAAATTCAAGTGCAACATATACATTGAGCTGCAAAAGTTTCTTATTATCTACATCCGATTTCACCTGGATAGATGCACGCTTGATAAAGCTAGTTAGTCTAGCGAAATATTGCGTTTATTTTCATCATTTTGTAAATATTTTAAACATTCTTATATTTACATACTAAATAGTGTGTTAAAATTACATTGTTAGGCAATCTCTCTCTCTCTCTCTATATATATATATATATATAAGTGCCTATAAATAGCAGCACATGACATACAAATCTATGGGAGTGTGGATTAATCAGTACAGAGATTAATTCAATTACACAAATAAAATTATAGATTGCCTAACAATGTAATTTTAACACACTATTTAGTATGTAAATATAAGAATGTTTAAAATATTTACAAAATGATGAAAATAAACGCAATATTTCGCTAGACTAACTAGCTTTATCAAGCGTGCATCTATCCAGGTGAAATCGGATGTAGATGATAAGAAACTTTTGCAGCTCAATGTATATGTTGCACTTGAATTTAGCTGCCTTGAAAATAATACATAATTTGGATGAAGTTCAAGATTTCTACAAAATTGGTAGTTGAAGTTAGCAACGTCCATTGGCCAATATTACAGGATAAAAAGGACGATGCTGTGTACTAAATTATTCTTTATCTTTCCTGTATCTTTTCTCATCTTTTTCGTTAAGACCATCGGGTTCTAAAGTGTGGAGTTGGTGGATCCAAAAATTTTCTCTTCTCCTTCTCGCCGTGGTGTCCCACTCGGTGTTGACTTCTATGATTTGGAAGGTAACATTATCAAAAGAATGTTTCGTTGAACGAAGATGTCTTGTGAGAGGACAGTTTTTGTTGGTTTTGTACCATGAACGATGGTTATTGAGCCGAATATTAAATTTGTCCATTGTTTCTCCCACATACTGAATGCCACATGTGTCGTTCAACGAAACATTCTTTTGATAATGTTACCTTCCAAATCATAGAAGTCAACACCGAGTGGGACACCACGGCGAGAAGGAGAAGAGAAAATTTTTGGATCCACCAACTCCACACTTTAGAACCCGATGGTCTTAACGAAAAAGATGAGAAAAGATACAGGAAAGATAAAGAATAATTTATTACACAGCATCGTCCCTTTTATCCTGTAATATTGGCCAATGGACGTTGCTAACTTCAACTACCAATTTTGTAGAAATCTTGAACTTCATCCAAATTATGTATTATTTTCAAGGCAGCTAAATTCAAGTGCAACATATACATTGAGCTGCAAAAGTTTCTTATCATCTACATCCGATTTCACCTGGATAGATGCACGCTTGATAAAGCTAGTTAGTCTAGCGAAATATTGCGTTTATTTTCATCATTTTGTAAATATTTTAAACATTCTTATATTTACATACTAAATAGTGTGTTAAAATTACATTGTTAGGCAATCTATATATATATATATATATATATATATATATATATATATATTTATAAGTTTTCGCCTTTTTAAAAGTTTTGTATAGGTTTTCCCGAACTTGTTTGTCTTTTCGTTGTCAATCGTTTCTATGCCACGGCGCTGTCAGTTTCTCTCCGACTTATGAATTTTGTCATTTTGGTATCTTCCGCATCTTTTTCCTATTATTAATTATGTTTCGCTGAACAAATATAAGTATTTGTTTTTATCTTATTGTTATTTATGTACTAAACATATTTTACCTGAAGATGATCAGAACGGCAAATATAATGCACAATCCGAACAGAACAACATTCACAACGACTATTTCTCCTACAACTAGACATAACTTGTATGTATTTACATTTATTTTTTTGTATGCTAGTAGTTGTATCATTCAAAAGTGTAATATCTAATGCATATATTTTTAATAGATATAGGAAGATGTGGTATGAGTGCCAATGAGACAACTCTCCATTCAAGTAACAATTTATAAAAGTAAACCATTATAGGTCAAGGTACGGCCTTCAACACGGAGCATTGGCTCACACCGAACAGCAAGCTATAAAGGGCCCCAAAAATTACTAGTGTAAAACCATTCAAACGGGAAAACTAACGGTCTAATCTATATAAAAACGAGAAACGAGAAACACGTATGAACTACATATTAAACAGACGACAACAACTGTACATCAGATTCCTGACTTAGGACAGGTGCAAACATTTGCAGCGGGATTAAACGTGTTAATGGTACACTGTACCAAACCTTCTCCCTTTTCTGAAACAATAGTATAACATCACAACATAGAAAGACACACTATAAAATATCAATTGGAAGGCTTAACTCAATCAAAAAACGTAAATTAACACACAATGAACGAATAAATTTGATCTGTGATACCTGAATGCAAATACATAGTTAATAAAAATTATAAGCGATTTTATTTCTGAAAATTTAGTATATTTCAGTATTTAGTATAAAAAAAATCACAGACGGGGCTCAACAAGCAACTTGCATGTTTACATGTCGCTAGTCATATGTATAAGTAAAATTTGCAATATGCAAAAAAAAAAAAAGCACACAAATGAGACTTCTGTTAAATGTGAGTTTTGTTGTTCTAGGCAATCTTTCAATCATGTACGAATTTTCGATTTTTTCCATAACGTATTTTACGTTTACAAATCGTAAATTTTTATATATTCAATCCATTTATAGAAACCATGGAAGTAATATTTAAAAGGAATAACAACGACTAATTAGCATGTATTAACAGCCTGCATAGCTCTGTACTAAAGTCATATGATTTTATCCAATTATAGTCTCAGCGACAAGACCCCTTTGGTTACTATCTGTGATACCGCGGTTGTAAAATGGCATCTGGAATTTATTATCAGTCACGTGATTTTATCGAGTCCGGTAATTATAAAGCACCTGTGTGAAATCCGAGGTTTATTAATAAGAAGGTGGGGTGTATCATATAAAACCTCTACCTTCAGAAAGAATTCGTATGATGTAAAAAACTTGAAAAACGGACGAGAATTGTTCAACCTCCAACAGTTTAGCATGGAAAATTGTTTTTAAATTAGCATATTTTTGCTTTTTACCGTTTGTTTTAAACTGTTCTAAAAGTATTTTCTGGTTAAAAGCGGATCCCGAGTAAAACAGTTAAATACCGATGAATCGATCAGGTTTCACATGATGTTTAACAAAATAATGTAGACAAATCTAGACATAGATTTTTTTACTGTTGAAATGTGCAAAGTTTATCGAGAAGTATTTAAAATTTATCATGTATATGTCATAAATGTCATTGATTACATTATTGAAACTGGACAGCTAAAATAGGGATAATATGTTCGTAAACATATATTTTTTTTTAAAAAGTGTTTATTGTGGAATACTTGTATTAATATAACAAGCTACAGCAAAAATCAAAACAAACCGACAAAATGAGCTTGACGCTATCTGTCGGCAAATTCATTTTTAAATTACACGAATTAGTTTATGTATCAAGAACTATAAATTAAAGGATAGAACCGTTTAGAATTGTGAATATTTTAATTGACTAATACACGAAAGACTTAGATTATTCATATTTAATAAAAGGGGGTCCAAACGTATTTTTAGTACAATCATCTTTTTAACTTACGGAAATGGCTTTTTAACTGTCTGTAAATATTAAAATTGAAAATGACCCAGCCTTGTTCTCCAATTTCATGTGATAGCTGTCGGTATTATTAAGATCGAAATAACCAGAAATAGGAAAATTGGACTAAAATAAAAACTGAACGAATGACTCTATTCGGCAGCGTACATCAACGGAATGTAACGAATGGACTATTCGGGTTACTTCGCACGTATATACGACAAAAACTTGTCTGTTCGTAGTTTTCCGTGAACACGAAAATGACCGAAAAGTGTCAGTGATTTGATCGATCACATGCGGAGAATGAACTTCCATGCCAGATATTAAACCAATTAACGAGTTATCGAAAGATGGGCGGTAACGCAGATGAAACCTTTGAAGTGACGACGTTGTTGTTATTCCTTTTAAATATTACTTCCATGTAGAAACTAAGTTCCGAAAATGTGTCTTTTAAACAATTGTACGGCGGTATGTTACCGTTTATTGCTGCGCCCAGTATTTTGCAGATTGTTTTATTTTCATAACAAATTCTTATTCTTATCATTGTTTATACCAGGTCTTTGTACATCAGTACTGCTCGTTGAAGAAGGCTTCATTGTTCTATCGAAAATTGATTCTGTTGAGTCTCCAGAAAACCGACTACCATCATTCCCAATTAGAGGTATGATTATATGACCTATAAACATAAAGCAAGATTCCAGGATATGATTTTTATGAAATTTCATAGCTAGAGTTGCTCAGTTTAAAGTGTGAAAGGATTTCTTATTGGAAATTACATTGTCTTTTTTTATGACAGAAGTGCAAACTATAATATTTTAAAATATTATTTGTAGCAATAAACTGTGCACAATGTTATAATGTGCATTTACCAAAAAAATACAAAAAATACATATCCATAGTATGGTTTCATTCGAACACTTAGTTGAATGTTCTTATTAAACGCCAAAATATTTTTTTTAACCAATCTACGAAAGAAGTTTTTCAATGTTCTTACATTATTATTTTTGCGTTAGTGGTCATTCATTATGATTTGATGGACATATGGTGCACACAATGTGCCAGAGGCGAGCAGATGCACGATATTTAAATTTTCGATCTGTCCTACCTGGTTCAAAATAAGAATAATGGGCTATCATATATAAACTTCTGTTACTATAATATATGGATAAATTAAAAAAAATATTAACTTCAATAATTTAAAAAGGATATATATATAGAAAAAGGTGGGTCCATTCCCCAAGCGCCTGTGTTATAATAAATAAACAATAATACTAATGGTAATCAAGTCATATCTATATACCTTAATTTAAAATGCTTTAAAATATTTATATCAGAAAAAGAACTGTATAGACTTACTTGAGTCTCTTTCGTCCTTACATAAAACAAGCACGCGGTCTGAACAAGGTCTGTATTGGGAAATCAGTGATCGAGACATATTTTGCCTTTCGATCGCAACACACTTTTCAATTCCGTTGTCTGTAGATGAAAAAAAAATCATATACACGTCATAGTTCAAGATAAAACAAATACAATATGGATTATACAATACATAATAGAAATTAGAATTTCTTTATAAATCACACAAACGTCATATTTATTTACGCCTCTGGAAAGACCTGACCATAAGGAGATTCAGTTATATTGATATCAGAAAGTGTACATGACTGAGGTCAGATAAAGATCAAAATGGATAGTTATTCTCTACTCGGGTAGAGGAAATTATATGCGTCATTGCTACTTCTATAAAAAAGGCAGGTTTAGCCATTAAAAGAGGGTACATTTACAATGACCGCGAATCATCATTCCCAACTTTCCGCAAAGGTACATTGAACGACATTTTATTAATCTACAGCAACAAAATACAGATTGAGATTTGCTTCTCTTTTACGAAATTACTATTTGATTCACAGTCTGCATATTATACAATCTATAAATATAATATTCTAATATCATGACGTTCTTCAAACGCTTTCAGTACACACTCGTGGTAAAATATGAATATATTGTTTGGGCTGTTCCTATCATACTCCCACGTCATACGCTTTTTTAATGAATGAGCTACTCGACGTCACTGAACGATGACGTAAGAATATAAGCATTTTACGGGAAAATGCACAATTGTGAAACAGAAAATCATCACAACAAGGAAACGCAAACAAACGATGATTAAATGTATTATAAGCCATTTTTTTAACATATAAGTAAAATTATTATTTAAATTCATCCAAACCTATCTAAATACGTTATTGTAGTTTAAGCATGTCACTAGTTCAGTTTGCTCCGTTCTTTTACTTCAATGTAATAGTGCGTTTATTTACGGGAACGGCAAATATTTGCCTTCACCGAGAGCGCTTCGATCCAAAAGAATTGCCGTATTTTACCTATTAGAATAGAAATAATTCATGGGTGTTTGAATTTATACTGATTTTACAACGGGTTAGCCCTTTATGCCGATATTTTACCCCTCGCTGTCGCTCGTGGTAAAATATTTAGCATAAAGGACCAACCCGTGGTATAATCAGTATAAATTCAAGCCCCCAAGAATTATTTCTTAAATAATGTACAGAAAAATTGCAAAAACTGTGTAAAGTAACAGAATCTTTGTTTGTTCTTTAGACAAGTTTTATGTTTTTGGAAGGTTTAAAGCAGGCATTGTTATATGTTTGCTCATAAAGACTCGGGACAATCAAAAAGCTTCCTAGATTACTGCTTAATGTGAAGACATTCTTTTTGTCTCTTCCGAGTCAGAATCTTGTTGTTTTAGCATAAATTAGGCCGTTGGTTTTTTTTTAATTGTTTAATATTTTGCAATGCTTGGGACTTGCATAGCTTACTACATGTATACAGCAGAGAATTACTCATTGCTGATAATCATACAGTGTCTTACAGTTGTCCTTTGGTCTGTGGTGGATAGTTTTCACATTGACAATTATACCACTTTTTATCATTTTTCACAATAAATTTATAACTTCCTGAGTTTCAAATGGTTAGGTTTGAGCATTCCTAATGATTGTAAATCCAGAAAAGCGTTTCGGAATCTTGAAATCGATAAAGTGTTATTTTCACCAGCTGTTGCGGTATTATTTGTATATATATATATGTACCTCCTGAAAATGATATACTTATCATTAAATTGATAAGTTATCGATGTGCTTAAACTTTACCTTGTATAGAGTTCGGTATAATCACTATCTTACCTTCTTCAAACCTGAAGTACCGTAGCCAATATTCCAAAAAGTCACTCTCATCTTCCAAAAGGGATACATTATTGCGTAAACATGTGTAAACAGCAGTATTCCATGTCCCGTATCCAATGCCTCCTACAATATGCTGTTGTATGAATGAACACATTTCCCACTTTCAATAATGTATCAAAGGACGATGTTTTTCAATGGGTGAATATATCCAATCATTGTTGAAACACCGTGTATTTTTATAGTATGAAACAAATATATATATATAATTAAAAACAAATTGTTCAGAGAACAATTGAAGGTCTTTCCACCCTAATTGCACATATTATTTTGATCGGAAGATATCAACTTTCGGTTTAAAATGTCATTTTCTGGTGTCAAATAATAGCTTAACTCACGCTGATTCCAAAAATATATGGTTTCTGTATATTTAAAAAAAAAAGGAAGAGATGTAGGTGCTTCCGGTTTACAAACTTTCACTTTCCGGTTAAGAAAATTCCCATGAAATTTCAACGTACCCTTTCAACCCAAATTCAAGTGTTACGACATGTCGTAACATACAATTTCGTAAAAATACTTTGTCGATATCTTATACGCTTTCTGATCATAAATGATTATAAGCCAAAATAAAAAAATTGGAACATGACTTTCACCTCATTTTCTTTTTGGTGGACCAAGGACCTCACATCAAAAGACCCTGGTCTCTATCACTTATGGTTTGCCAGTTACAAATACATTTTACCTATTTCAAATACAGAAGGGGAAAAACTCTCATTTAAAATCTCTATATCGCTTCAGCCAAAAATTTCTCAAAATATCCTGAGGATATAACGAGCAATTTGGTTTCTTTCACAGTTGCATAAGAGTAGACATAACAAGTAAAACAAGTGTTCGGGGAAATAACTCTTACCAGGCAAAGGTTTCGGTTAAGCAGTGTTAATTTCAAAAGCGTATAAACTGTTCGATATCATATATCAAATATCTAAGCGACATCTTGCGAAACAACCAAACAGTGAAAGAAAAAAATTAGGCAGAAGAAAAAAATAATAATCAGAACTAAATCAATAGATATTTCCACGGAAAAGTGGAAAGACCTAATTACTTAACCTTCGTCTACTTTGAAAATTTAGAATTATACCAGTTCAAATCGTTAAGTGCTATTCATTTGGGATGTATAAATACGCAGCTTCTGTTGTAATCACTTAACCTTCGTCAACTTTGAAATTTGAAATTTTTACCAGTTCAAATCGAACAGTGCTGATCATTGAGGATGTATGTCTATGCAGTCTCTGTTGTAATAACGTAACTTTCGTCCCCTGTGAAATTTTAGAATTGTACCAGCTCTTATCGCACATTACTATTCTAATGAGATGCATATCTATGCAGTCTCTGTTGTAAATACTTAACCTCCGTCAACTTTGAAATTTTAGAATGGTACAAGCGTGGTTCGGTTTTTTAATTGTATTGATTTCAAGATTGTTTTTAGTAATATCAGAATAAATTGATAAGTATCATTTTACATCATACTGGCAAAAGATATCTGTTATCCGAAATATTTATTGATGCTTGTATTTACTGTTTCCTTTTTTAATATTGGTGTTGTTTTGTACACCTTTTTATGTGTATATATAAAATATATATACACACAAAGAGACGCACGCAGAACGTGTACTGGAATGATGTAGGTATTGTTTTGAATACGATACAAAAGGGAAAAAACATTAGAAAATTATATTTGAGAATTTAAATCATAGATTTGAAATTTGATAAATACTGAAAGAGTACACTGCAAGTGCTTCGCGGATTCATTTTATCAAAATGTACATTGGAAACTGGCTAAAACAAATTGCTGGAGATTGACGGATAACAGTCAACAGGCGATAGTACTAGCATGTTGTTGAAAATCTGAATGATAATGTATGGTACGTATGTTAACATTTTAAAACAACCTGCCTAAAAAGGTTAAGTTATTAAATACTAGTAAACTCGTATTGAAAATACTTGCCTCCCTCACAACTAAAATTTCTTTCAGATTTGCAGTCATATATCACCAAAGTACCATTTCTGTTGGCGAGGCAATGATGTTTATGAGGTTTTCTACCACCATTTTGAATAATTTTAGTCCGAAAGTCTTAAAATATGTGCAATATATTTAAATACAATGTAGTGCATTGACATATGTTTGTATACACTTAAAATTACATTTTCATTGAGCTACAGTGTGTCATAAACTATAATTTTGTTCATACAGAGATACAGTATGTCCTACCTAGAACTTTCCATTTTGAAAAACAGTCTAGAGCCTTGTTTGAAAATGAACTATACACGATATATACAAGTAAAAAAAAAATAGAAACCTTACATCAGTTTTTATTAATTTTAGAAAACTTCGTGCATAATTGAATTATCTTGTTTGTGAACATTTAAAAGTTATGTTGCAATCAGGAATGTCACAAACTGCAGCTGCAAACCAATTTAATTCCTCTAGAATGACAATGTATAGACTTGTGGTTCGTCTGAGGGACACTGGGATACGATCCGAACGCCCGCGATCGGAAGACCTCAAGCGATGACGTTACGTCAGGACAGGCAAATTCGTCTGATGCACCAGCGCAATCGCTTCGTGACTACAGTAGCTACATCCAGGCGTATACCCGGAAGAGCCAGCGATATGATTTCAGACCAAATTGTCAGATTTCGCATCCGTCAGTGTGGCCTACAAGCACGGCGTCGTCCATTGAAGAGAGCCACACTTAAACGACGTCACAGAGCTGCCCAGCTTCAGTGGTGTCTTTATCTTTATAGATATTGCTTTTTGAAATATTTATTCATTGTTATCAGAGATTGTTGTTATCTTACAAATAATATGACTCGAAATTAGTGTAACGTTCATTTTTGACTAGCTAATAGGCTGATTATGTAATAGACAAACCAAACAACAAGTCAGCTAGACAAAAATGTGATAGAAAATATTGGATGTGATGTTATGTATTCTAGGAACTCTGTGTTTAGGGGTGCTTTTATGAATATATATTATCCGCAAGTTTATTGTTTTCTGTTTGGTAATAAATTATTAATAAGATCAATTTTGTTCCATCTTGTGATTTGTTTATTTGGCAATCGCCAATGGCAGTTTAACAGGGTTTAAGAACATTAGTTGTTCGACCTGCTGGTCAAATGCGTTTTGTTAAAATATACTTTTTCACACATTTGGTCTTTTAGAAAATGTTGTTTGTGCTGTATTTAGACCCCTCTACCAATCATAGGTTTGAA